ATTATCAGAGAAATGCAAATTAAAACTACAATGAGGTATCACCTCACACCAGTAAGGATGGCTGCCATCCAAAAGACAAACAACAACAAATGTTGGCGAGGCTGTGGAGAAAGGGGAAGCCTCCTACACTGCTGGTGGGAGTGTAAATTAGTTGAACCATTGTGGAAAGCAGTATGGAGGTTCATCAAAATCCTCAAAACAGACTTACTATTTGACCCAGGAATTCCACTCCTAGGAATTTACCCTAAGAACGCAGCAATCAAGTTTGAGAAAGTCAAACCCTATGTTTATTGCAGCACTATTTACAATAGCCAAGAATTGGAAGCAACCTAAATGTCCATCGGTCGATGAATGGATAAAGAAGATGTGGTACATATACACAATGGAATACTACTCAGCCATAAGAAGAGGGCAAATCCTACCATTTACAGCAACATGGATGGACCTGGAGGATATTATCCTCAGTGAAATAAGCCAAGCGGAGAAAGAGAAATACCAAATGATTTCACTCATCTGTGGAGTATAAGAACAAAGGAAAAACTGATGGAACAATACAGCAGCAGAATCACAGAATCTAAGAATGGACTAACAAGTACCAAAGGGAAAGGGACTGGGGAGGATGGGTGGGTAGGGAGGGATAAGGGAGGGGGAAAGAAGAAGGGAGGTGTTAGGATTAGCATGCATGGGGGGTGGGAGAAAGGGGAGGGCTGTACAAGACAGAGAAGACAAGTAGTGATTCTACAACATTTTGCTATGCTGATGGACAGTGACTGTAAAGTGGTTTATAGGGGGGACCTGGTATAGGGGAGAGACTATTAAATGTAATATTCTTAATGTAAGTGTAGATTAAAGATAACCAAAAAAGAAAGAAAGAGAAGGGGTATTACTCCCTGATAGGATAAAACTAACTGTAAATCAACGATTAATGCATGCTTTAAATATCCTTAATTTTGATCACTTAACGGGTGTCAGATGATTGGCTATGGATGTACACTTTTCTGAATATATTCGTTTCTCTTAAAAAAAAAAAGCAGTTCCTGTGTGGTGACCTCCAATGAGTTCTACACAATGGTATAAAGGGTATATCAAAGTGTGGGCAAAGGGTCTGTTTGTGTTTATACAGAGGAACAAAGCCTAATTTGGCTACCCAGAAAATGAACTAAGATACGATATGAAGAAGAACTTCCAACATCAGCACTCTCTGGAAGAGACATACCAGAAGATGATCATCAAAAAACCTCAACAAAGATCCAGGCGATGCTGCAGTTGTAGCTGCATTCATCCCACCGGTTCCTGGACTTGCCATGGGAATGAAGAAGGAGATATCTAAGCTGGCCTGTGCCTACAGTAAAACAACAAATCTGACTGGATCTATATTGTTGGAACTCAACCAAGAATTAGGAGAAGTGCAAGTTGTAGCACTCCAAAATCTTACAACTACAGACTATCTACTGTTAAAAGAACATATGGAATGTGCACAGTTCCCAGGAATGGGTTGTTTTAATTTGTCTGATTTCTTTCAGACTGTTTAAGTACAGTTGGACAATATCCACTATATTATAGACAGATTCTCACAAATGCCTAGGGTGCCTAACTGGTTTTCTTGGCTTCACTGGAGATGGCTGGTAATTATAGATCTGCACTGGTTATGTAACTGTTTTCAAACAATATGGCTTCTCTCTCACTTACCAACTTTACATTTCCCTATATGGCCCCGGAAGATGACTGGTTACCCAGAGACAGGTAAGATTCCTCAAGGGAGGAACAACCTAAGACAGGCACAGTCGCAGGGGGGGCCATCAGGTGAGAAATTGGGGATCAACAGAGGTGAGGCTTAGAACCTCTCCCACCCTATTCTGAGAGAAATCTGCTGCATCCGTGGATGTTTATTGCCCTTGTCTAGCTTGGATTAACACATAGTCTACAGGCACACACCTGATCATCTACATTTGCTCTCTTACAACACTAAACTATGTTTTCTACCTTTATCTTGCATCTGCATCTACCTACCACTTCAGCATTTTATTAAAAATAATAATAATAATAAAGGGAGAAATGTGGGATTCACATATAAATCAAGTATAAAAATCAAACAAATATTCATATTTGACCTGATTGTTTATAGTTTGTAATGTGTGATCAAAACCGAAAGTTTTTGTGATGACTGCCCTTGTACTGTTCACCATGTAAGAATTTATTCACTGTGTAAGAATTTGTTCACCATGTAAAAAAATAAAAAAATAAAAATAAATAAATTTTGAAATACTGAAATCATGGAAAGCATCTTTTCCAATCCCAATGGAATGAAATTGGAAATCAATAGCAAAAAGACTCAAATATTGGAAATTAAACAACACACTCTTAAACAAACAGTGGGCCAAGAAGAAATCATAAGCGATATTAGAAAACATTTCGAGATAAATGAAAATGAAAACACAACATATGAAACTAATGGGATGCAATGAAAGCTTTACCAAAACAGAAAATTATAGCTGTAAACGCCTACATTAAAACAGGAAAAAAATGGTCTTAAGCAATAACCTAATCTTACACCTTAACAAACTAGGAAAAAGAGCAAGCTAAATCCAAAGCTAGCAGAAGGAAGGTAATAGTAAAGATTAGAGCAGAGATAAACAAAATAGAGGTTAGCAATGCAACAGAGAAAAATCAATGAAACCAAAAGGTGGTTCTTTCAGAAAATCAACAAATTGATATGTAGGCTGACAAAAAAAAAGAGAAAATGGAAGTAATTAAAATAGAAATGAAACAACACTACTACTGACCTTACAGAGATAAAAAGAATTACAAGTAAATTCTATGAATTGTCCACAAAAAATTAACCTAGAAGAAATGGACAAATTCCTTTAAATTTATAAATTACCTAAATTGGTTCAAGAAGAAATAAAATCTGAACAGATCTACAAGTAAAGACTTTGAGTCAGTTATCAAAATCTCCCAAGAAAAATCAGAGACCACCAGATGGTCTCACTGATGAATTCTACCAAACATTTAAAGAATTAACACAATCACTCCCAAACTCTTCCAAAAAAATTGAAGAGGTAAGGAATATTTTCCTATTCTTTCCATGAAGTCAGCATTACTCTGACACCAAAGCTATTGCAAGAGAATTACAGACCAATATCCTTTATTAATATAGATGCAAAAATCCTCAACAAAGTTTCAACAAATTGAATCCAATAGCACATTAAAAATATCATCACCATGACCAAGTGTGATTTATCCTAGGAATGAAATGATGGTTGAACACAAGAAAGTTAATACATCATGTTAACAGAACAAAAGAGAAAAAACACTTGATCATCTCAACAGATGCAGAGAAGGCATTTGACAAAATGCAACACCCTTTCATGAAAAGAGCCCTCAGAAAACTAGGAATACAGGGAAATTCCTCAACATGATAAAGGGTACTTATTAAAGAAATGTTAATAGCATTCACTGTAAGATTATGAAGACAAGGATCCCCATTTCACAGCTGCTATTCAACATCGTACTGGAAGTTATAGCCAGAGCTATTTGACAAGAAAAGGAAATAAAAATCACCCAAATTAGAAATGATGAGGTCAAATGATCTCTACTCACACATGACCTGATCCTACTGATAGAAAATCCCAAAGAATCCAAAAGAAAGCTACTAGAGCTAATAAAGGAATTCAGCAAGTTGTAGGCCACAAGGTCAACAAACAAAAATCAATTTTGTTTCCATACACAAACAAAGAAGAAACCAAAAATTAAATTAAGAAAGCAATTCCATTTACAGTGCCCCGAACATAATAAAATACCTAGGAATAAATCTAACCAAGGAGGTGAAATTCTTGCATACTGAAAACTATAAAACATTGTTGAAAGAAATTGAAGACCTAAGTCAAGTAAAAGATATCCCTTGTTCAAAGATAAGAAAACATTGTTGAAATGTCAATCCTACCCAAAGTGATCTAAAGATTCAGTGCATTCCCTATCAAAATTCCAAAATCTCTTTTCACAGAAATGGGAAAAACCAGTCCTTAAATTATTGGAATTTCAAGTATATAACAATACACTATAATCATCTCTTAGTGTTCATATTTCCTGCTTTGAAAGTTCTAATTCATCATAAAACACTAGCCTATCCTATTAATATTTCTGGCCACTAAAGTACAGTAAATATACTGAAAATCATTTAAGTATTTTTCTTTTATCCATTGAATTCTATCTAGCTACTACTAACATATTGAACATTGAATTATATTTTCTTTGACCAATTACACTTCCTATACATTTTGAAAATTAGTTGAAGTCTATTGCAGCTGTAAAGATGTAAAAGTTCTTAAATATCCATTTCTTACTTTAAAAATGGGGAAAATATAAAATAGTGGACTTCTGACAAACCTATCAAACTTATGTCCTGTACACATAGATACTATTAACCACTTCATCTGTGTGTACCAAGGACAGCAGCTGTCACATACTTAGGTAAAAGTAGTACTATGCATATATATTATGCTGTGTTTCTTTTTCTAGCTATGAAAATACCATAAAGCATCCTACCTGTTACTGTTAACTTCACTGATTCCAGCATGTTTTCACAGGCAGCCAATTCCTGTCAAAGTAGAGAAAACTTTTCAGTGTATGGTTTAGTAATAAATTCTTAAGATGATAATCTTGAAGAGTTTATTGAGCATTTATTAACATATGATATCCCAGGCAGTATTAAAAGTAAGTTAGAATTAACTCCAGTCATACAGAAACTTAAAATCTAAACTAACACATACAAGAAAAGAATAAAGAGAGAGAGAAGATTGTGCAGATACCTCACTCATATGAAAGTCAGTTGTCCAGGCAACTAGGTAACTAGCCTTGAATACAACAAGAAATGAGGAAGTAAAGCCAAAAGGGTTTTTGATGTCACAAAGAGTATGTATTATAAAGCTCATAGACTTTACAGAGGAGTCTGGAGTGTTTTCCAGTTTAACTTTAGACTTTGTTTATTTGGTTTTTCACTCCATCATTTTTTTACACATTCAAATTAGTTCTCCATGGCTTGGATTTTCTTTTTTCATTTAAAATTTTTCCAGTTTTATTGACATGTAATTGACATATAATATTCTATTAGTCCAAGGTGTACAACATAATGATTTGATATATGTATACACTACATATGATTATCAAAATAAGTTTAGTTAACATCAATCATCTCGTGTAGTTACAAATTCTTTTCTTGTGATGAGAACTTGTAAGATCTCTTACCAACTTTCAAATACACACTACAGTATTGCTAACTATAGTCACCATGCTATACATTGCATTCTATAATTAGGAGTTTTTACTTTTTGATCACCTTCACCCATTTCTCCCATCCTCAACTCCCACCTCTGGCAACCACCAATCTGTTTTAAGTTATTAATATTAAGAATTTTTTAATTTGATGTTTTCTGGTAAAATAAGTGAGGTCGAATTTCACCTTTACATTTCTCCCACAATGATCCCAGCACCATTTATTTAATAACCTATCTTTTACAAACTGACTTGAAGTATCCCCTTTATCAGATACTATATTCTCTTATATATTTAAGAGAACTTCTGGACTCTCCAGTTGGTTCCACTGATCTACATCTATATCTATGGTAATACGATACCATAGTATTATAGTTATTTACAGCTTTGTCATACTGGTAGAGATCATCTTCTCTCATTACCCTTGTTGGTATTTTTCTAGAAATGCTTATGTGTTTATTTTTACATGTAAAACTTGGGGAGTTGAATTGTATTACATTTATAATGGATAAAGGCTTTTAAAAATATAAAGACAGAAAAGGTCAGATTATGTAGAGCATTGATAAGAAATTTGGATTTTATTCTCAGTGCAATCAGAGATCAATGGAGTTTTGAGCATTTTGGCTGCTATGTAGAGCACCTTCCCTAAGACACTGTAAGCTACTTGATGTCAGCAAATATAATTCAGTGATCTTTCTATCATTTATAATACTTAGCACATGGACTTCCCCAAACATACACTCAATGTTTGTATAATTAACAAAAATCAGATATAAAGCGTACTAATTTTTTTTCGGTGTTTATGAGTTCATTTATTTATTTTTATTATGGTATCATTAATGTACAATTACATTAGCAACATTATGGTTACTAGACTCCCCCCATTATCAAGACCCCTCCACATACCCCATTACAGTCTCTGTCCATAGCGTAGTAAGATAATATAGAATCACTAATTCTCTTCAGTGTATTGTACTGCCTTCCCCGTGCCCCACACACTTATTACATGTGTCAATCGTAATGCGCCCTTCTCCCCCTTATGCCTCCCTTCCCAGCCACCCTCCCTCGTCCCTTTCCCTTTGGTAACTGTTACTCCATTCTTGGGTTCTCTGAATCTGTTGCTCTTTTTGTTCCTTCAGTTTTTTCTTTGTTCTTATACTCCACAGATGAATGAAATCATTTGATACTTGTCTTTCTCCGCCTGGCTTATTTCACTGAACATAATACCCTCTAGTTCTATCCATGTTGTTGCAAATGGTAGGATTTGCTTTCTTCTAATGGCTGAATAATATTCCATTGTGTATATGTAACACATCTTTATTCATTCCTCTACTCATGCACACTTAGGTTGCTTCCATTTCTTGGCTATTGTATATAGTGCTGCGATAAACATAGGGGTGCATATGTCTTTTTCAAACTGGGCTCCTGCATTCTTAGGGTAAATTCCTAAGAGTGGAATTCTGGGTCAAATGGCATTTCTATTTTTAGTTTTTTGAGGAACCTGCATATGGCTTTCCATTATGGTTGAACTAATTTACATTCCCACCAGCAGTGTTGGAGGGTTCCCCTTTCTCTACATCCTCGCCAACATTTGTTGCTGGGTGTCTTTTGGAGGTTGGCCATCCTAAGTGGTGTGAGGTGATATCTCATTGTGGTTTTAATTTGCATTTCTCTGATGATTAGTGATGTGAAGCATCTTTTCATGTGTCTGTTGGAGATCTGAATTTCTTCTTTGGAGAAGTATCTGTTCAGATCCTATGCCCAATTTTTAATTGGATTATTTGCTTTTTGTTGAGGCCTGTGAGCTCTTTGTATATTTTGGATGTCAACCCCTTATCAAATATGTCATTTATGAATATATTCTCCCATACTGTAGGATGCCTTTTTGTTCTATTGATGGTGTCTTTTGCTGTACAGAAGATTTTCAGCTTGTTATAGTCCTACTTGTTCATTTTTGCTTTTGTTTCCCTTACCCAGGGAGATATGTTCATGAACAAGTTGCTCATGTTTATGTCCAAGAGATTTTTGCCTATGTTTTTTTCAAAGAGTTTTATGGTTTCATGACTTACATTCAGGTCTTTGATCCGTGTCGAGTTTATTTTGTGTATTGGGTTAGACAATTATCCAGTTTCATTCTCTTATATGTAGCTGTCCAGTTTTACCAACACCAGTTGCTGAAAAGGCTGTCATTTCCAATTGTACATCCATATCTCCTTTATCATATATTAGTTGACCATAGATGTTTGGGTTAATATCTGCACTTTCTATTTTGTTCCACTGGTGTGTGGATATGTTCTTGTGCCAGTACCAAATTGTCTTGATTACTGTGGCTTTGTAGTAGAGCTTGAAGTTGGGAAGCAAGATCCCCCCCTCTGCTTTATTCTTCCTTCTCTGGGTTGCTGGGACTATTCAGGGTCTTTTGTGTTTCCATACGATATTTAGAACTATTTGTTTCTGTTCATTGAAGAATGCTGTTGGTATTTTGAAAGGGACTGCATTGAATCTGTAGATTACTTTAGGCAGGTTGGCCATTTTGACAATATTAATTCTACCTAGCTAAGAGCATGGGATGAATTTCCATTTGTTTGTGTCCTCTGTAATTTCTCCTAAGAGAGTCTTGTAGTTTTTGGGGTATAGGTCTTTCACTTCCTTGGTTAGGTTTATTCCTAGGTATTTTAATCTTTTTGATGCAATTGTGAATGGACTGGTTTTCCTGATTTCTCTTTCTGCTAGTTCGTCATTAGTGTATAGGAATGCAATAGATTTCTGTGTGTTAATTTGGATTCTGCAACTTTGCTGAATTCAGATATTTGTTCTAGGACTTTTGAACTGAATTCGTTCATGTTTTTTATATACAATATCATGTCATCTGCAAATAGTGACAGTTTGACTTCTTCCTGACCAATCTGGACACCCTTTATTTCTTTGTTTTGTCTGATTGCCATGGCTAGTACCTCTAGTACTATGTTGAATACAGTGGGGAGAGTGGGCATCCCTGTCTTGTTCCTGATCTTAGGTGAAAAGGTTTCAGTTTCTCACTGTTAAGTATGATGTTGGCTGTGGGTTTGTCATATATGGCCTTTATTATGCTGAGGAACTTGGCCTCTATACCCATTTTGTTGAGTGCTCTTATTATGAATTGATGCTGAATTTTGTCGAATGGTTTTTAAGCATCTATGGAGATGATCATGTGGTTTTTGTCCTTTTTTTTTTGATGTGGTGGATGATGTTGATGGGTTTTTTAATGTTGTACCATCCTTGTATCCCTGAGATGAATCCCACTTGATCATGGTGTATGATCTTGATGCATTTTTTAATTCGGTTTGCTAATACTTTGTTGAGTATTTTTGCATCTATGTTCATCAGGGATATTGGTCTGTAATTTTCTTTTCTTGTGGTATCTTGCCTGGTTTTGGTATTAGAGTGGTGCTGACCTCATAGAATGAGTTTGGAAGTATTCCCTCCTCTTATACTGTTTGGAAAACTTTAAGGAGAATGGGTATTACGTCTCCTCTAAATGCCTGATAAAATTCAGCTGTGAATCCATCTGGCCTGGGAGTTTTCTTCTTAGGTAGTATTTTTATTACTTATTCAACTTTATTGCTGGTAATTGGTCTGTTTAGATTTTCTGCTTCTTCCTTGGCCAGTCTTGGAATGTTGTATTTTTCTAGAAAGTTGTCCATTTCTTCTAGGTTATCCAGGTTGTTAGCATATAGATTTTCATAGTATTCTCTAATAATTCTTTGTATTTCTGTGGTGTCTGTCATGGTTTTTCCTTTCTCATTTCTGATTCTGTTTATGTGTGTAGATTCCTTTTTTCTCTCAATAAGTCTGGCTGGGGGTTTATCTATTTTGTTTATTTTCTCAAAGAAACAGCTATTGATTTCACTGATTTTTTTCTATTATTTTATTCTCCTCAATTGTATTTATTTCTTCTCTGATTTTTATTATGTCCCTCATTCTGCTGACTTTGGGCCTCATTTGTTCTTTTTTTTCCATTTTCAATAATTGTGACTTCAGAGTATTGATTTGGGATTGTTCTTCCTTCTTTAAATAGGCCTGGATTGCTATATACTTTCCTCTTAGAACTGCCTTCACTGCGTCTCACAGAAGTTGGGGCATTTTGCTGTTGTTTTCATTTGTCTCCATATATTGCTTGATCTCTGTTTTAATTTGGTCATTGATCCATTGATTATTTAGGAGCATGTTGTTAAGCCTCCATGTGTTTGTGGAGCTTTTTGTTTTCTTTGTACAATTTATTTCTAGTTTTATACCTTTGTGGTCTGTGAAGTTGGTTGGTAGAATTTCAATCTTTCTGAATTTACT